CAGTTGGCTCTAGCAAGGCCTTTAATTAGGTGTTTTGAAAGTTTACTCCATTAAACAAACATCATCAGAATGTAAACTCATAAACTTCATACATTAAAATTATAAATGATTTCTAGTAACAAATATTGAAAAAAAAACTTCTTGCTATATTAAAAATATATCCCAAGGGATACTGTAATTACTAGGACAAGTTTTGCATCTTCCTATTAAATCTGAAACATTTCAGTTACAGCAAACAATATTCATTGATAATAGTAGTTTGATTTTGAAAATTGCAATTTGAACAAAATAGTTATTTTTTTTTCCATTTTTGAGTTATCAATAGTAGGCAGCTATTTTTAAGCTTTATTTCAACCTAGGCTATGAATCTGAGATGGAGGAACTAAAATATCCTCATAATACATAGTATAATATAGTGATAGTGTTGTGATAAAAAGATTATGCTGTTAAAACAGACCTCCTGGATATAATTTCCTATGTAGTATTGCTTCACTGTGACTTCCATCAAATTATGTGGACTCTCAATTTTCTTAATGGTAAAATCGGGATAACTGTACCAACCTTGTAGGAGTAAATGAGTTAGTGTGTGGGTACTGCTTAAAACAGTGCCTAAAATTTTAGTTGTTATTACTGTTTCTAATATAAGAACTGCTAGTACCACTTAGGAAGATATCTCATATTTCTGATTATTTTTAATCTATATGCACTGATAAGAACTGCTAATATCACTTAGGAAGAGATCTCATATTTCTGATTATTCTTAATCTATATGCACTGATAATCCTGTGGTTTTGAAATTGTATTCATTTCATTACAAAGTGGAATTCTTACAGATACATGCATTTTTTTCAAATGCTGTGTTTCCATAGTTACCTTACTATATTTCTTTGTTCTTGAAACTATTTTTTATAGTAATTATACCTACTGGAATTTGCATAGTACATTGGAAACCTTTGAATTAATTTATCTCATCTTTAAGTAGTCCCTTCAAATGTAAATTCTCTCATTATATCCTACATGTAAGATGAAATGGCTTATACAGTGTCACACAGCTGTAATTGACAGGTATAGAATTCCACAAGTGTCCTGATTCAGAGTATCTGTGCTCTTTTTCTGATTCACGGTTTTCATGGGTTTCCCAAATTAAAACTAGATAGATTCACTGATGTCAGCTTCCCTTGCCTATCAGAAAAGCACCAAAACCAAAGACCTTTCCTGCTCTGGGGTATTTAGTATGAGATTGCTATTAACCATCCTCACTCATTCTTTCATTCATTCTTCTAACAAGAAATTATTGAGTTACTGTGGGCAATATTGTTCACTGAAAATGCTTAGTATGGACCCAATTTATTCTCAATGTATGTATTTGTCCAGTTATTTCTTTATAATTGTTACATGTTATTAAAAAAGACTTACAGTAACTTCAAATCTGTGTGAAATGGCAAGGTAATATAAATTAGAAATTACTGATAATGGAAAGCACACACATATGCAAATGGATAAAAATACAAAATGTACTCCAAAATGAAACTCATGAAGTCCTGTGTATTCTCTAGGGCCCTCCATATATATAATATATGTGGGAAGGCATGAAGTGATTGACCTTAAATTAAAGCATGCACTCAATTAGTTATCCTGAGAGTAAATAAATTTTGCTATATAAAATATTTATCTTAAAAATTTAAAGAGGATATTTAAGAGATAATATCCATCTAAATGATACTTAAACAATATGGAAAGTGCCTGCATGATGATGAGATGATACTGATAATATTTATTCAGATTTTTTACATAGGGTGTTATTGGGGAATTACAAATATTTTTGGATGGTAACATTTTTTTCTATTTTTCTGTCAGCTATTTTGTTCTCAGTTTACCTAACATTATATTTAATATTATTAACTTATAGTGTATTATTAACTATAGCATATCATGAACATATATGGTTGGCATATGTGTCTAAATGATTTTATCATGAGCATATTATTGTTATGTTTCAGATGACTGTAGTACTCATTGATAACTTCTGTATTCTTTGGTTTGGAAGTATTTCTTATTTGAGAAGTGATTTCTACTGAGTCAGTTAGAATGGATGGAATCCCAAGTACTTCCTCTGAACATTCTCAGAATGTGAACATATTAGGGACTAGAAAGAGAGTTATTTATTGGTCTTTTTTTTTAATTTTACCATATGTTCCTTAATCTTGTATTAGGCGTGTATTGACAGAAACATTATTTTAATTACTAAGGCACAATCCTGATGAGTTATATGTCTGTTGATGACATTCTTCATGTGTATTCGATCAACCATCTGACAGACACTAAAGCAGAATACCAAAGTGGCTTTTGAGAATTTATGGTTAAACTTAATTTGCATATGAAAGTAGTCATTTTCAGAGAAAGCACGATGAGTGAAGTCATATTAGGGTAAATACAGTTAAGGAGACACATTCAGCATGATCTGTATTTGCTAATCAAAATGGACGTATATTGCATCGGTTTTTCTGATCCTAGTGAGTAATGTAAACTCAAAGATAAATCTGAACAGAAAATGTCTTTTGTGACAGGTACTCATTAAACAGCTACTCCAACACATCAGTAATTTGTATAGCATTAAACTTTCAGATAGAAAAAATGGAGAAAAATTTCAATTTGGTTTTAGATGAACTGTTCCCAGACTTTTTCTTGTATCATCAAGATGCTGTTACTGCCTTTCACCACTTCCCCATTTCCAAATTCAGTGTCTTCAGTTAGCCTTTTCAGAAAATAGGTGACATAAACTAGAAGTCATCCTTAATGAAAACAACATGCAAATTGTCCTTGAAAGTTCTAAGAGAAGCTTTTGTAGCCAGACACAGTGGTTTACACATTCTAGCCACTATATTCAAAAACATTATGACTATAAGGTTTAGGAGTGGATTAATTTTAGTTATGATAATTTCATTTCAGTTAGGTCTTAGAAGATTTTGTTTTTACATATGCATACTAAAACAGTTATAGATGAATTTATGTAATGGATAGGATATGCTTCAAAATAATCCAAGGGTGGAAGTATAGATGAAACAAGATTGGGCATGAATTCATCCTTGTTGAAGTTGGATGATAGGGACATATGGATTCGTTACACTTTTGTCCCTGCCTTTTTTATGTTTGAAATTTTTTGGATATATTTTTTTAAACATACGAATGAATCAAGTGTCTACGTAGAGCCCAGAGTACAATTTTCCATCCTTACTCATTAAAGACACAGGAAACATCAGCACTTTTACATCTTGCTCTTTCATATCAGAACTATGTTTTTGAAATTATGTTACATAGATCTGTAAGGAAATTCCATTATGGTCATGCAATAGGGACCTCTTTTGACTTTTATAATAAGAGGATTTTACCTGGATGACAGTATATATTGAATGTGCACTTATTTTAATGTTCTTGTTAGTGACAGATAGGAAAAAGGTTTAGTTTTCTCTTTTTACTCCTGTGTTATAAAATATGAATGTAACAGAAGAGTTAAGTCTCAGTTTTATCATATATAAAATAATGGAACAAAATATTGAAGTTGCCTTGAAGCCCACCAGACCTGCATATGTGGCAGTAAACATCAAGGGATTTTGTGTTAGCATGTCTATATTTCTTCATACCAACTTAGTTCAGCTATTTAACCATTCCAGTTTCCTTACCGAAATTATTTAGCAGTAGATGAATAAGAATATATTGCAATTTATTTTCATTAAGCAGTCCAAAAGTGTTTTTCATCTTTTGACAATTTTTGTGGCAAAGGAAAGGTTCAGTTTTTTAATCTGAGTGATGTTTGGGAAAGAATGATCTACCTACCACAGGACCTGCCTCAGAGTGGTTACTCAGTAATTGTCCAGTGAAAGGAAAGGTGGGTGTTATTCCACCACTGATCAGAATATTAGCATAGGGCAGGCCGATCACCAGTTTCCCCATTTTACCATGTAGATGCGACAGTCATGACTTAAGTACTAAGTGGTTTCTTTAAGGGTGTTTGCTCTCTTTGCATCCCTTTTATCATCTCTAAAATGCTGCTAATTCATCTCATTTCTACCTTAAAATGATTTTATGATTTTCCTATTTTTTAACACACTACTAAGGTCAGTGTATAACGCAGAAGCAAAAATAAAGTGGTGAATATCATATACCATCTATCTCTAGAAGGCAGCATTATTTATAGGGCAAGAAAACAGTCTTGTCCCATTTCCCTGCCAATTGTGAATTCTTAAGGCAGTTTTGAGAAAGGGAACTAAGAGACTTTGAACAAAACCTTCAATTATTACCAATAAATTTCTGACCCAAAAGTGTTTGCACAAATCTTTTTTGCAGTATCTAGTTTCAAAGCACAGGGAGGGGCGAAACAGTATTTCACATAGTATTATATTCCAGTTGAGGTGCGTTAGAATGATAGGCTCCCAGGACAAATGATGTTTTCTGAATATAAATTTACTTTTTTCACACTGATGGCTTATATATCAAGATTTTTAAAGATGTATGCAATTAATCTGGAAATATTTGGCCCAAGTTATATACCCAGGAGCTTTTCCAGAATGTGTTCTAATTGATACAATTATTTTCCTAATAATGAATTTTTAATCAAACTCTTTTTACAGAATGTTTGATTAGCAGTGGTGCCTTTTGGTAAAGAGGAACATGACTCAATTTCTAGTTTTCTGTAAGACTCTAAGTTTTGATACATTAAAATACTATGTGAGCATTCAGGACAATAAAGTTAGGTTCCTTTCTTTGGCAAATCAAACTTTGAGAGAAATTTTTCTTTGAAAATTTGGAATACTAAACACTACTTATAATGGATTTTGTTGACTTCCTGTTCTGCTCCACTCCCTCTTCAAGACAGATCTTCCCTCATTCCCACACCTACCCTAAAACCTGTTTGGCAAAATTTTGTTACAGTTGTAAAACATCAGCCCCTCTCAGTTCTGTTTTATTTAAACAAAGATCAGTCACATTTTTTGTTTCTCCAGGAATCAGATGGCCAGGGCTGCCCCTTCTGTCGCTGCGAAATAAAAGGAACAGAGCCCATCATCGTGGACCCGTTTGATCCGCGAGATGAAGGCTCCAGGTGCTGTAGCATCATTGACCCCTTTGGCATGCCTGTGCTGGACTTGGACGATGACGATGACCGTGAGGAGACCTTGATGATGAACCGGTTGGCAAATGTTCGAAAGGTAAAATTAGACAGTTTAGGTTTATTTAGGGTGGCATGTGGATATGCAGAAGAAGTCATGCTGTCTAAATGGGGTGTGACAGTGTATTTGGGTTTGGAAAGATTCAGAAACCAAAAGTAAGGTGAAGCTATAGTGTTGACAGGCTGATTAAATCATAAGCTGAGAAAGAACAAGAAGTAGAGTTTTAAATTTCAAAATGAGAGGTGGTGGAGTTTTTATATGGGATTAAAGATCATCTGAGAGTGGCAATAGTAGATCTGTGAAGAAAAAAGACAACTACTAAAATTGGAGATGATGAAATTGGCTAAAAATAGTCTTTCTTGAAGTCTGAAAGAAGTGTCTGATGGAGTTATTCTCTTATAAGGAAAAACCAGCCTTCCATTTGGCTACTAAGAGGTCACATAAAATCTATGGCTGTGAATTTTTTCCATTGTCTGAGGCTTGCTTATCAATATTGCCGACAGAGAAAATTGACTTGGTCAGTTCACTGAGAATGAATGCTGCTGCCCACTTAGAGTTTATGTAACCCCATTCACAAGAGACTAATCAGTGAACCAGAACGCCAGTTGAGTAATGTACAAACCAGAAATGACTGTCAAGAGAGCTAGACTTTTAGAATCAGAAAGATATATGAGATTCAGATTGCACTCAGAAATGTTGTGCTCTCAGAGTCAGAGAAATGGCAGGAAGTCCTATGAAAGGTCTGCAGATGCTGTGTGCAGGTACCCCTCTACCCTCCGACTCAGGCAGATGCGGCTGATCGGTCATGGCACTTATCCCTGCTCAATTCAGACTTGGCCCACACAGGCCTATAGAGCCCCCACTGCAGTTCATGAGGATTTGGTAGGTACACGAAACCTATGTGCTGTCTAGGTGGAGTGACGGAAATGAGTAACGGCATCAAACAGTGTTTGTCGCCATATGCATCTGTCTCTGTGGTAGGAAATACTTGGTGCAGAGAACTGATGAAACATTTCTTTGGGTTACCACTTATTCAGGGTATCAAAGTTTATCTCTTGGTCTCCTGAATTTTCTTTGTTCTGAGGTTCCATGCTCATCAAAGACATACCCAAAGATTTTTACATATGGGTTATTCATATGAACCATCACCAACATGGCTACTTCAAACTTTGCTTTGGTCTGGGATGATTTTTATTCTCCAACCTCTTTTTTCCATGAGTGTCATAACTTAACTCTCAGAGAAACTACTCTTGATTCCATCCTTTAGTCATGGCAACCACATTTAGCTTTTACTTCTGAAGTATGTTGTGACTCAGACCCAAGAGATGGAAGAGAGGAAGTTATTCCTCAGTAATCCTAAAGGATGAACAAGGAAAAAAGAAAAAAAAACTTCAAATTGAAACAAGGAATTGAGACTTGATTTTAAGTTTTAAGATAAACTCTTAATCGGTAAACTAGTACTAACATCTTTAGATATGCAAAGCTTTTCACATACTTTCTCAACAACTTGGAGAGGTAAATACTCTTCTCATTTTTTCAGATAGGGAAATGAGGCTCAGACTAATCATGACACATCAGTAGGTGGTAGAGTTACTACGTACAAACTGTTTGAAATATTCAAAACAGAAAGAGCGATTTTCTGGATAATGACACAGCCAAATATATCCAACACCCCAGTGTAGCACCCTCACATGTGGAGTGTTGAAATGGTTTCTAAGTCAAATTATGGAATATGTCCTAGAATTTTTATCATATAGTATTACCCATTTTAACTAATATTGGTAATAAAATAATAACATTTGTGATTTTAATGACATGGCACTGTTCCACGTTCTTAATTCTTTGATCTCATTTGATCAACTTATCAACCCTATGGATAAGTTACTGTTATTGTAAAGTTTTATGAAGAAGGAAATGGAAGAAGAAAGAAGTGAAATAATTTACCTAAGATTTGCATAAGATCCTGGAACTATTCTATAGCAGAACTGGTGCTCTTTTCCAGGTCTTCCTAACTTCAGAGTTCTAGTTGTGAGCTGTCATGTAGTATGCCTCCTTTAGCCTCTTTGGAACATGTCACACACATTGTACTTGATAGATCATCACCACCTGTCCTCTAAAGCTCTTTTCAGTTCTATAATATAATATACATCATGAATAATTATTAATTCACAATAAATTTTTAATCAGAATTTTAAAATAATTTGAATTATGATCTGTTGGTACTAACCAATAAAAATATTTATCTCCTATACCTGCATAATGGGCCACCAAACACTCAAATTCAGTTAAGCCCTGCTAATTTATATATAGATGGTTATTGAATCTGTTTTCCAATATACTATGTGGCTTTTAAATGTAAATTTAAAATATTAAAATTTAAAGTTTTGTTTCTCATTCACACTCAACATTTTGCTGAATAGCCACTGGTGTCTAGGAGCTACCATACTGAACGTACAGAACATTTTCTATAGCAATTGAAATACCTAGTATTGATGAATAATTATCCAATAGATAATCCTATTGGACAGAGATTTATTAGCTCATTCCTTCAGGTTCTTACTGGAAGAAGCCTTGTCTTGGTGCAAAAGACCTTTCTTTTTAATTTAATAACCGGTCTTAGCTTGCTCTGGGTAATTAACTACAGTTGAGCACTGGAATCAGCAAACTATGGCCTCTTTTGGTTGGTTTTTATGAAAGCTAAGAAAGATTTTACATTTTAAATGGTTATATGTTTAAATGATTTTATAGGCACCTACATAATTTCTCTAATTTTGCATTTTGGCTTGCAATGTCTGAAATATCTACTATCTGGCCCTCTAAGAAAAAGATTACATCCCCAGGTCTAGGGCACAGTAAGCATTTACAGAATGTTTGTTGAATGCACAGATAACAGGGAAGAACAGAAAAGTATTTAACAAGTATACAGATGCATACACACCTCAGGTACTTAAGGAGTCCTAAATGGTAATGTTTTCTAGCTAGGAAAAGGCATTTCAATTTTCTTTACTAAATGGGTTTTTCTTCTTTCAGTGATTTGTGTTAGGGGAGAGGAGTGGGGCCTTAAGAGTAATTCTTTGAAGAACTTTGTATACCTTACTGCGTGGGGTAAAACAGTGTTTGCCCTTTATGAGTTTGGGAAAAGCTGTAGACTAGGACTGTTTTCCACCGAATGAAGTGGCAAGCTGAGCTTCTGTTTCAGCAGTGGCACTGACAGTTGAAGGGAACCACTGGTACCGTAAAATGAGCAGCAGAATGTGTAGAGGTGACTCTAGTGGCTTTTCCTTGATCTTTTCAGCCACTCTCAAGACCATGCATGTTTTGTTCTCTGGCTCACTGTGAACTTTCTGTCAAGGGAGCTGAGAGATTTTTACACTGATCCTCTCTTTAGTTTCCCCAAGAAAAGAATGGTGCTCTCAGACATTATTGTCCCGGCAGTCTCATTTCAGTGGCTTACTTGGCAGGCAACAGTGTCATTTAATAAAGCCTTCAGTAGAGTCAATGCTATTTCTCTCCTTTCCTGTAGCACTTAGATATGGGAAAAATTTAAAGAAATTGTAACTTTTTAAGTTTAAGCATCGTATTTCAATTAAATGTCATTGTGTGCACTAATCTGCTTCTAGTAATTAAACAGATTGTGAATGTTAAAATATTTCATTAATCACTGCCGCTTAGCTTTCAATAAACCTAAATTTTAGTGTAGATGCAAGCATCAGTTGTTTCTGAATGATTGGAGAACATATTGCTATGACATTATTTTCCCATAGCACTTTATGTGTATTTCTGTTTCAGGGGTTACACTAAATTGTTATGTTTTATTGAGAGGACTGTCTTCTCCATTAGAGTATTAATTCTTAAGACCAGTGTGAATGTCTTATTTATCTTTGTGTTTCCTGGCACATGAACACACTCAGTAAGTACTTATTAAATAAAATGATAAATCCACATGCATGCTCAAATGTTTTTTGAGGGCAGTGACCTGATTTTATGCATCTTTGTGTCTTCCTATCTGAAGGCTGAATATATATATACAAAATATCAAATTATAGGTTCTATTCAGTTGTCTTACAGCTGAGGCCATAAACAAATATCCTACAGCCATTTTCACACAATAGCTCTTCTACCTGAATTTTCTTCCTTTCTGTTTTTTCAGTCATTCTGTTGCCTATTCATTCATTTATTCATTCATTTTAAAAACATTTCATTCTCTCAACTCCAAGAGTAACTGTTGGCCATTGTCTGTTAGAATGATTCAGTTTTCTTTTATCTGCCATTTCAAGTTCTCATCTCATCTTTCTCTTCTTTTATGAGCAGGTTGATGCCTATATTGTGAATTCGTTTCTGCCTGTCTTGAGCATGCTGCAGTCTTTAAATTAGTAATGCTTCCATCATAGCATAGAGGACTGAGCTGTGTATACGTTGCTGTTATCATGGCGATATCCCACACATGGGGCTGAAAGTAGCATAGTGAATGTATAGAATGAATTTCTATTTTTTCTCTTACAGGTATATTTAGTAATGCTTATCTTTCAGAAGTAGAAAGAGCCTATAAATCTATAATGCAGTGTACTGTTTGTCTTCCTAGATACATAGGCTATTTTATGATTTTCAATTAGAAGATGATTTAGATTTTGCTTGAAATTATACCACTGCCTAACTTCTCAAGCTGTCTGTAGTTACAAGATAATAGGATCTGAGTGAACCCTTAGAGGAAGTCTATGGTATGATTGGTAAGATCATACATATCCTTTGCTCTTACTTGATCAGATCAGAGCTAAGAAAATGTCTATTGCTAGACAGAATTTTGTTTCATTTTGTGAAATCTCCTTTTTGACACAGCTTCTTAGCAGTTATGTTGATAGAATATATTATTCATCAAATATGTAAAATCATGAACAAATATTTGCATACAAAATAAAAATGTTCACAGACTGGCCTAATGTATGACCTGAGATTAATTCCTTTGCTATTAAACATTTTCTTAAAACAGGTTTAAAATTTTAATGAATGGTTATTTAAGAACAAGCACAGCTGTGACCAGA